GGTATGGCAGGAGCCTTTGATGGTCCCATGGGGGTATGGCAGGGGGACTAAGAATGGAGAGGAGTCTGAAGGTCAGGCCAGATACCAACCTGGGAGACATCTGGGGTCGAAGGACCCTTTCACAGGGGTCACCCGATTCAAAACCCTAACAAAATTACAGTTATGAAGTAGCAGTGAAAATAATTTTCTGGTTGGGGGGGGTCACCACAACATGAGGAACTGTATTAAAGGGTTGTGGCATTAGGAAGGTTGAGAACCACTGGCATACAAGAAGGTGACTGAAGCTAGGGGAGTTCAAGTGAGAAACACCCAGAATGGAGCCCAAGGAAGACCAGCCCTTCAGTGAGGCCAGCCCAGAGAGGCTGGCCACAGGTAGGAGGAAAACTGGCTGTGTTGTCATGGAGACCAAAGGAGGAGTGGTTACAGAGAAAGGATAGTTCAGACTCTGGCAAATACCTACCAGTGGTCAAGGTCTGCCTGGGCTATGGGAAGGGATGGTGAGGTCACATTGGGGTCGACCAATGAGTGTGATTGGCATGGGGCGGGCGGGCGGGTGGGGGGAGGATGGTCAGGAAGACCATGACAGCCTGGGCTGGGCCCTCTGAGTGGGGGGCAGTGATGGAATTCAGAAGACCTGCCTGGAGTTAATTTTCTTGAGGCCATAGGGTGGGAACCAGAGGAAGTGACAACAGTTGAGAACCTCGCCCCACCCCACCCCTGCTTTGTAGAAGATGGGGAGGGGTTGAGCAGCCTAGGCCTTGGAATGTGGCTCTGGGGTTGGGGAGAAGCTCAAGGTCTTTTGTGAGACATACTGCACACTTTGGTTCCCCCGGTGGGACATCACCACATGTACCTGGAGCTTGGTTTGGGCCCCAGGATGGGCCCTGGAGACCTGTGGCAGCTTAGAGCCAGGCACAGTCTCAACGCTTGGTCGACCTGCACTAAACGTGGGAGAAAGACTGGGCGTTCTGCCATTAACAGGCACGGTCTCGGGACCCCACAGGGGGTGGCTGTGAGTCAGCATTGGTTCCACTCATTGTGTGCCTACTGGGCCACCTCTCCATCTTTCCACACGGGTCTTCCTCTGTACTGAGCTCTCCTGAGGACACGTCCAAAGGAAGCAGTTCTGCCGGTGTCCTGCTGCGACCCATAAGGGCTTTTCCCCGCCCCCAAATATTGCTGTTGGTCTCCATAAGGTAGATTGCCAGACCTTGCTTCTTGCTCTGCCGCTCTGCTGACACCCGTCCACCATGGGTGACCCCGCTGGCATTTGGAAGCCGGTGGTGCAGCGTCCAGCAGCACGGAGCGCGCAGTACACCTGCCCACAGCCAGCGCGCTTTGCGGGCGCTGGTCGCCCACCGCGTCAAGGTGACCCGACCCCCCGCTCATCTTTCCGCACCCCCCTGCCTTTCCGCACCCCCCACCCACCCGCTAGCGCTCGCGCCTGCGCACTGCGTGCTCACACCCAACCGGATTCCGTTGGAATGCGCGGACACGTGGCCTGCGCCTGCGCACTAGCCGCCGCGGGGAGTTGCGGGGGTCGCCTACCATCCGCGGGGTGGGCGCGGCCTCCCCCCACGGGCTTCCCAGGAGTGACCTTCACAGCCGCGGGGAGGGCGCGGTCGCTGGTGGGCGAAGCTGCTTGACCAGGCGGAGGACTGGCGGGGCTGCGGTGCCTCCTGGCGGCCGAGTTCCGAGGGCCCCATCCTCCCGGTGGACTCGAATTCCCGAGGTAGGCGCCCTGGGTCTGCTCACTGCAGGGACAGGGACCCGGGAGCTAGGTCTGAGCTGGGGTAGCGGAGTGGGGTCTCTGAGCCTGACGTGGAGTGTCCTCCCCAGTGAGAAGTGGACTGCTCTCCTTTGATGCAGCTTTTGCGTCATGTGAAATCTTAAGACGCACGATTCTTATTTAAAATATCAGCTTGCTTTGTAAGGAGCCACATTTGCACGTGGGCCGAAACCCCAAAATGCATGGTGGTTTGCGACCTCTTTTTCTCAAACCTTCCTGTTTCCCAAGCATTCCCTCCCCACCTTTCAATCCCCTGGCCACAGGTGGGTGGGAGGGAGCGTGTGAGCACCCAGCCAAAGGCCCTGGGCCCCTGCCAAATGCTGGAGAAAGGAGCAAACTGGCCTACCCCTCCACCTCCCATCAGAATCTGAGAGCACATCGGACTGGGGGGCGGGGGAGGGGGCACTTCAAAGCCTCCTGATTTTGGAGCAAACGGAGGAGGTTTGAGTGCTGAAGCTTGCCCTCTAGCACAGCCCCCACATATAAATGGCTTCCACTTGGGACCCCAGAGCTTTCTGGCCATCACAATCAAGAGGAATGGCCTAGCGTTCATTGCCAGAAAGGATCTTGCTAAATCCATCATGAAGCACAGTGTTATCTGTGATAGGATTTTATCTATCCCCCTTCAAGGAAACCTAATCAATAGTCTTCAAATGATGCATCAATCACAAAAGCTAGTGATGAAGAAATTGAAAAATTTTACCAACAACGTCAATAGGAAAATTGATCAAACATGCACTCAAGATGCATTAATAGTTATTGGTGATTGGAATGCAAAAGTTGGAAACAGAGGAAGGAACAGTAGTTGGAAAACATGAACTTGGGCACAGAAATGAAGCTGGATATTACATGATAGAATTTTGCAAAACCAATGACTTGTTCCTAGAAAATACCTTTTTCAACAACACTAAAGCCAATTTTTTAAAAATCATTTTATTAGGGGCTCATACAACTCTTATCACAATCCATACACACATCAATTGTGTAAAGCGCATTTTTTGTACATTCATTGCCCTCATCATTCTCAAAGCATTTTCTCTCCACTTAAACCCCCCGGCATTGGGTCCTCATTTTTCCCCTTCCTCCCCACTCCCCCCTCCCTCATGAGCCCTTGATAGTTTATAAATTGTTATTTTGTCATATCTTACCCTTCACCACATCTCCCTTTCACCCACTTTTCTGTTGTCCGTCCCCCAGGGAGGAGGTCACATATAGTTCCTTGTAATCGGTTCCCTCTTTCCTACCCACTCTCCCTCTACCCTCCCAGTATCGCCACTCACACCACTGGTCTTGTAGGGCTCATCCACCCTGGATTCCCTATATTTTCAGTTTCTATCTGTACCAGTGTATATCCTCTGGTCTAGCCAGACTTGCAAGGTCGAATTCAAGTCATGGTAGTGGGAGCGGGGAGGAAACATTTAGGAACTAGAGGAAAGTTGTATTTTTCATCGTTGTTACATCACACCCTGACTGGCTCGTCTCCTTCCCGAGACCCCTCTGCAAGGGGATCTCCAGGGAAAAGCCAAATATTTTAATGAAATGTACAAAGACCAAGAAATGAGCTGATACCAAGGGCTCAAGTAGAAAGCAAATGTTTTGAGAATGATGAGGGCAACAAATGTACAAATGTGCTTGACACAATGGATGTATGTATGGATTGTGCTAAGAGTTGCATGAGCCCCCAATAAAATGATAAAAAAAGAAAACCAAAAGGGAAGAACTCACTCAGCATATCTTAAATGCAAGAAAAAAATGCAAGCCTCAAGTTGCAGTCTTAAAATATTCTTTGGGCAAAATATTGAACGATGCAGGAAGCATCAAGAGAAGTTGGAAAGATTTTGCAGTCACTGGACCAGAAAGAACTAGTCGACAGCCCACCATCTCAGGAGGCAGCAGATGAGGAAGACCCAGTGGTGCTGCAGGAAGAAGTTCAGACTGCTCTGAATGCATTAGTGTCAATTCCGGATTGACAGAATACGGATCGAAATGTTTTAGCAAGTGGAGAAGCACTGGAAGCACTCACTCATCTATACCAGGAAATTTGGAAGACAACTGTGTGACTGACTGGCTGGAAGAGATCCGTATCTGTGCCCATTCCAAAGAAAGGTGAACCAATAGAATGCTCCAACGATTGCACAATGTCATTGATACTGCATGCAAGTAACATCTTGCTTAAGATCATTCAACAATGGTTGCAGCAGTACATTGACAGGGACTTGCCAGAAGTTTGGGCCAGATTCAGAAGAGGCCATAGAACAAGGGATATCATTGACGATGTCAGATGAATCTTGACTCACAGCAGAGAATACTAGAAAGATGTTTACTTGTGTTGCATTGACTATGCAAGGGCATTTGACAGTACGGACCATAGGAAACTATAGAAAACCTTGAGAGTCGTGGAAATCCCAGGACACTTGATGAATGTGCTCACGAGGAACTTGGACATGGATCAAGAGGCAGTTGTGCAAACAGGACAAAGTCATACTGCATGGTTTAAAATCAGGAAAGGTGTGCATTGGGGTTGTATCCTCTCACCATACTTGTTGAATCTATATGCTGAGCAAATCATCTTGTAATAGTTAGCCTAAGTAAAACCATTTTATATTAAGCAACAGTCTGCACTAGACCATAAGTGCAACCTCAGGCCTTTGTAGCCCATTGTTCCTCAAACTGGGAGTAGCCCCTCGGTCCTCAAACTAGAAATAGTCCCTTGATCTCAGGACTGGTAGCAGACTATCTTGTGACAGTAAATTGTGCTGAATCGCTTAACCGCAAGTTCTGCTTCTGGACAGCATGCTTGCACAGCTCAACTGTTTGATAAAACCCTAGAGACCTAAGTCTGTGAACAAGCGGAACCAGTCACTTTCTTTAGACTGGTCCCTGCGCAGGGTCTTTTTTTCTCTTTTCTGTCCCTCTTTAATAAACTGTTTTCCTTTGTACTAAAGACTGAGTTGTTCTTGTCCGGTTCATGCACAATAATCTGAGAAGCCGGATTATATGAAGAAAGACGTGGCACCAGAGGAAGGCTTATTAACAACCTGCGATATGCAGGTGACACAACGTTGCTTGTGAAAGTGAGGAGTACCTGAAGCACTTGCTGATGATCAAGGGCTGCAGCTTTCAGTGTGGACGGAACTCAATGTAAGGAAGACCCACATACCCATAACCGGACCAATAGCTAACATCATGGTGAATGAAGAAAAGGTTGAAGTTGTCAAGGATTTTGTCTTACTTGGATCCACAATCAATGCTCATGGAAGCAGCAGTCAAGAGATCAAAAGACATTTCGTTCGGGACATTTGCTGCACAAGACCTTTTTAGAGTATTGAAGAGCAAAGATATTACTTTGAGGACTAAGATGTGCCTGACCCAAACCATCATTATATGCATGTGCAAGTTGGACATTGAATAAGGAAGATCTTCGAAGAACCAGTGCATTTGAATCATGGTGCTGGAGATTAAAACTGAAAGTACCAGGGACTGCTACTTGGAAGAAGTGAGGCCAGAGTGCTCTTAGAGGCAAGGATGGCAAGACTTCGTCTTACGTACTTTGGACATGTTGTCAGGAGAGACCAGTCCCTGGAGAAGGACATCATGCTTGGTAAAGAAGAAGGGCAGTGAAAGAGAGGAAGCCCCCCACAAGATGGACGGACACAGTGGCTGCATCAGTGGGCGAGATGGACGGATACAGTGGCTGCATCAGTGGGCACAGGCAGAGGAACCACTGTGAGGCTGGCGCAGGACCGGGCAGGGTCTTCTTCTGTTACACAGGGGCACGATGCCCTGGAGCTGACTCATGCCACCTAACAACAGCACTGAGCTTCTCTGTTGTGTCTTCCCACAGATGAAGTCACTTTGATTTCTGTGTATTCCACCGGGGAATTCTGTGTGTATAGCTGCCTTTTGTGTTGTTGAAAAAGGGTATTTTCTAGGAACAAGTCATTGGTTTTGCAAAATTCTATCATACAATATCCAGCTTCATTTCTGTGCCCAAGTTCATGTGCCCAACTACTGTTCCTTCCTCTTTGTTTCCAACTTTTACATTCCAATCACCAATAACTATTAATGCATCTTGATTGCACGTTTGATCAATTTTCCCATTGACGTTGTTGGTAAAATTTTTCAATCTCTTCATCACTAGCTTTTGTGGTTGGTACATAATTTGAAGAGTGATTGTATTGCTTGGGTTTCCTTGGAGGGAATAGATATAATCCTATCACAGATAACACTGTGATTCATGCTGGACTTAGCAAGATCCTTGCTAACAACGAGTGCCAGGCCATCCCTCTGGATTGCGTTACTCCTGGCATGGTCAGTCATATGTTTTTACACTTCAGAACAGTTGGTGTCAGTCCACTGCAGCTCACTAGGGCCTAGGATATTGACTTGTATGCATTCATTTAATTTTTTTGGATCGCTTCCAATTTTCCTAAATTCATACTTTGCACATTCCAAGTTCAGCTCCTCAGAAGATTTTTGCAGCTGTTTCGCTGTCCCTTAAGTCAGGCCCCATCCGCAAACGACGAGTCTGAAGGCTCCACTCTCACAGGCTTCCCCCGACTCATCACCACGGCCAACTCCACCCCGAGAAATCAGCCCTCTTTGATCGTATTTCGGGTGCCCTCGGATCTGAGGGGCCATCTGCCATCTGTATCTCTGACAGTGTTCTGCTTCCTGTGTTCAGGCTCTCAGTATCTGACAGTGCTTCGAAGTTGTGCATGAAGTTTCCAGCGGCTTCTTCCTCTGAAGTAGGGGACCGAGCCCTTCTTCACTGTCTGTTCTTAGTCTGAAGCTCCGCTGAAATAATCTATCTAAAAATCGATCTCTATCTGTCTATCTATCTATCTATCTATCTATCTATCTATCTATCTATCTATCATCTATCTATCTATCCCCTTCTCATCTCCTAGGCAAATCCCACTCACCACAGCCCCCCGCCCCCCTGAGTTGCTCCCAGGGTCTTCTCGGTCATTGTCTTTTTTTTTTTTTAATTATTTTATTGGGAGCTCGTACAATTCTTACCACAATCCATACATCCATCCATTGTGTCAAGCACATATGCACATTTGTTGCCCTCATCATTCTCAAAACATTTTCCTCTCACTCTAGCCCCTAATATCAGTTGCTCATTTTCCCCCTCCTTCCCCACTCCCCTTCCCTCATGAACCCTTCATAGCTCATAAATTATTATAGTTTTGTCATAAGTTACCCTGTCCGATGTTTCCCTCCATGGGAACAGATTGTCACATCTTTCTTGGAGCAACTGGATGGGTTTGAACTACTAACCTTTTGTGAGCAGGTGACCACTTCACCACTCCCTTGAGAGATCTAACCAAGCCATTTCCCTCCAATGGATGAACCTTCTCCCCCCTGCCCCGCCCCCATGCCCGCCATTGTAAGTCCCTGCTGCCCCACACTCCTCACTCCATGGCCCACCGCCACCTTCTTCATTTCCTGAAATGACTCCACACTTGGTTGGCAACTCCTTTCTTTCTCATCGTTTGGTTTCACGAATATTGCTTCTTTCTGGTTTTTCTATCCGTTGCTTTTTGGTTGTCTCTGAGATCTGCTCGTCTTCCTCTTGTTAGCGGCTGTTGTTAGCGCCAGACTCCTGGCGACCCAAGAGAATGAAGCCCTGGCCCCCCAGCACCGCCCCATCATCGGTCTCTATCAGGCCGAGGCCATGCAGAGAGTTTAGTTTGGAACCAGCTCCCTGTTGCCACGGTGCTGACAGCTGCCAAGAGGCTTGCAGGCTGGGGCAGGGTAAGGAGGAGGCCTGGCTTGTCCCCCGCACCACCACCCAGCGCTGTCTGGGCAGCCTTTCTGCATGCGTCCCTGCATTTCTGTGGGTGTTTACCTGGATCTGCCCCTTCAGCCAGATGTCTCTGCCCTCGCCCACAGGTAGGCACACCTCGGAGACATGGTGGGCACAGTTCCAGTCGACCTCAATAAAGCAAGTGCCCCAGTCAAGCGGGTCACACAGCTGCTTTGATTTCTCAGTGCATATTAGGGCTGTTTTGCACTGTCTGTGGTCTGTTACGATGCAGTAGTATTGTGGGAGACACCTGAAATATTGTGAGAACACTCGAGGTGAGCATGTGCTGTGAGAGAACATGGTGCTGACAGGCTTACTTAGCGCAGGACTGCGGCAGGCCCTCCGACATGGGTCCGAAGGGACAATGAAAGGAGGTGTGCCTGTACCCAGCCATCACACCCCCTCCGAAGGCTCCGCACACTCGGATTTCCAAGGTGACCTCCAGTCTTTTCTTCCACCTCCACCCTACAGTCACAGTCTGCCCTCCTTCCCAGTCTCCCTGCCCGACATCTCTCTCCAGCCTGCCCCTTGACCAGTGCACTCCCCCGTGTGCTGCTTAACGCCAGGTGGGGCTGAGTCCCAGGCCTTCAACCTCTGGGCTTGGGGCCTCCTCTAAGAGGGGCCGGTAGTAGCTCCTTACTCTTCACTATCAAGGAAGCAAAGCTCACAGACGGTCTGCTTTCTTAAGATTCAGAATTGAGCGTGCATTCAGACGAACTCCAGAGTGCCCACCTCTCAGTGCCCCTTGTGATGGCAGCGTGGCATTCCTGCTGCCCCCAGTGCTGGCACAAGGCCGAGCACTGGCTGGGGAGGCGGGCAGATTCCAGGGAAGGACCTGCAGCTGTGAGCAGAGTCCCATCAGCCCCACAGGACTGCAACCCAGGCCCCCTCATGTTAAGGCTCAGTGGCTCTCCATAGGCCGTCATCAGCCTCCTGAGGGTCGGTGTCCGCCCGAGTTCTGCTTTTCCCTGTACTGGGGCTTCTTGGCTACTTTCACCCCAGAATGGGGTGTGGGGAGGGAGGAGTGGCCTTTTTCCCAGAGTGGAGCCTACTGACAGAGGTTTGTATTCTCGGAAAAGCTGCCCCCTCCGCCACCGCCAGGCTGCATGCTCCCCAGGGGCAGTACTGTTCTCCACCCAGACACCACCATGTGCCCACACCAGCTGCCCCGAACTGCTGGGTCCTTCACTTCTGTTTATACCTGGCGTCCCCATCGACAGTTGTCTTAATCGGGGGACAAAACTCAGCAGCTCCCGCTCATATGGAATGATCCTAACTTCTCAGCATGAGTGAAAGGGAGAGGGCCAGGCCTTCTACCACCGTGGCATGGTAGAAGGAAGCTGGGTGCAGAAGCAGGGCTCCCAAGAGCCAAGATCTCTTCTCAGAGCTGGTGGACAGTTCCAGGTGGGGGCTCTTGAATAGTCCTTGGCGTAGGGCAGAGGGTGTGCCAGATGGCACTGGGGCCTGGTCCCCTCGGCTTGGGGAATGAGCCCTGATGATGCAAGCTCAGGCGGCCTGGGACTGCCCGGCACGACGACCACACACTTTCTGCAGGAGTGAGTGATTCTCCCGGTGACACTGGCTGACCGTGGGCCAAGTCCTCAGTGTTGGGAAACTGCCCTGAGCAGGGACCTGTTCTTGTCCTGCTGCTGATACCTTGATCCCTCTGTGGGCTGGTGTTGTCCCCGCCCCTCCCCTAGGTCTCGGCCCCTCTCCCACCAGCCCCTTCCATCACACTGGAGCCCTGCCTCTCCCGATCAGACCACCAAAGGTCACCTCCTTTCCCTTATGCAAAGCCGCTATGTCTGCATGTGTGTGAGATCTGTTGGTGCCAGAGGAGCTGAGGAGCTAGTGTGTGTGTGTGTGTGTTGTGTATGTGTCTCTGTGTGTGCATTTGTGTGTTTGAGTGTGTGGTATGTGTGTGTCTGTGTAGTGTGTCTAGTGTGTATCTATATGTGGTATGTGTGCTTAGTGTGTGCGTAGTGTATATGTACGCATGTAGTATAGACAGTGTGTACACATGTAATGTGTGCTTAGTATGTATGGTGTGTGGTTTGTGTAGTATGTATCTAGTGTGTGTATGTAATGTGTATAGTGTATATGTAGCTGTGTGGTGTGGATGTGTTTGTGTAATGTATACGTAGTGTGCATGTGTATGTAGTGTGTACATGTGTCTGTGTGTTGCGTATTGTCTCTGTGTTGTGTGTGCATGTAGTCTGTATGTGCAGCATGTGTGTATCATGGAGCATACAGTGTATGTGTAGCATGTGTGTGGAGCTGTGGGCAGGGCAGCGGCTGGGGACTGGCCCGTGCTGCTACTGCTGCTGCTCCTTGTGGCAACCAGACATGGACACCTGGCTCCTGCTCCCTGCTGTTCCAGGGGTCACAGGTTGGTCCACAGAATCTGGACACTGTTTGGTCACAGCCAGTTTGATCCGTGGAAGAACGACGGGGCTTTGCAGCCCTGTAAAGAGCTACAGTCGGGGAAAGCCGCAGGGCAGTTCTGCCCAATCCTGCGGGTCGCGGTGAGTCAGCCTCGCCCGATGGCCGTGAGTCTTAGCGAGAGTCTGGTGACTCCGTGAAGACAACTGTTTGGAGGGGCTGTCACTGGGCCTGTGCTTTTGTTTGAATTCACACACACACAGGCTGCCCAGGAGGGGCAAGGTGCACCTGTTGTATTAAACTTCAAAAGTGTATTAGGATAGAACCTCAGTGCTCATCAGAAAGTGATTGAGGACTGGGGCCTGAGTCCAGATGTGAAGAGTGGGAAGAACCAGAGAACTGCAACGCTGGGCCCCGGCCAGCCACGGAGAGCCCTCCCGCCCCCGGCCGCCTCCTGGCGGCAGCCTGGCTCTAGATCTGCCCTTGCCAGGGGGATTTCCAGTGGTGGGGCTAAAGGTCATTGCTTTCTGCTGTCACTGCTAGGACCCAAAGACCCAGTGTGCTTTTCTCTCTCCCTAGGCACCTGCTGGCTCCGCATGGCTCACTGCATGGTGCCCTTTGCAGTGTGAACACCAGCTGGCCCTGTGGCACCCCCCCTGACGGGCCCACAGGACCCAGGCCACTGGAGCCAAGTGTCTCATGGAGCCTCGGGGCAAGACACCTGGAGAGGGCGACGCGGGGCGTGTCACAGCGCAGCTGCTGAAGTCCTGCACTGGTGAGTTCGCCCTGGACTCCATCCTGCTGCTGAATCTTCGGGGCCTGGGCCTCGTGGACCTGGGCTGCCTGGGCGAGTGTCTGGGCCTGGAATGGCTGGACCTATCCTGCAACGCGCTCACCCACCTGGGCCCACTGGCAGCCCTGCATCAGCTGACTGTACTCAACGTCTCGCAAAACCGGCTGACCACGCTGGAGCCGCTGGCTGCCTGTGAGAACCTGCAGAGCCTCAACACAGCCGGGAATCTGCTGGCAGACCCTGGGCAGCTGCAGTGTCTGGCGGGGCTGCGGAGCCTCGAGAGCCTGCGGCTCCAGGACCCCCTGGCACGCCTCAGCAACCCCCTGTGCGCCAACCCCTCCTATCGGGCTGGGGTCCACGAGCTGCTGCCTGGTCTGAAGGTCATTGACGGGGAGAGAGTGACTGGCCGTGGCAGTGAGCTCTACCAGCTGTGCCGAGACCTGGACAACTCCCTAAGGTCAGGCCCCAGCCCCCGGGTCTCAGAGGCCCAGCCGTGGGTGGAGCCCAGCTACTGGGAGGCCTGGCCAGGGCGTAGCAGCTCCATCCTGGAGGAGGCCTGCCGGCAGTTCCAGGCCACACTGCAGGAATGCCGGGACCTGGATCGCCAGGCGGGGGAGAGCCTGGCTCAGGCAGAGCAGGCCCTGAGTCCAGCGAGAGCGCAGTCCTCCTTCATGTTCTGAGTGCGGAGGCTCCTGGCCTCTGACTTCTCACCTGGTTCCCCTTCTCCACGCCCACCATGTGGTCTCCAGGGTTCCCACAGTGGCCACCCGAGACTCCTGGTAGGCAAGGCGTGGCAGGCATGCCTCTGGCCCTAGCCATTCCTGCAGGGTGGGCCGCCCTGCCCTGCTGTGGCTGCCTGCCTGCCTGCCCACCCTCTTGTGCCCTGAAATCCTAGCCCACCCACCCCATTAAATCCTCATTTCTGCTCTCATGTTTCCTGCCACTCCCTGTGGGCAAGTGAGGATGTGGCCTCCTGCAGGAAGGGGTCCAGAGGGCCAGCGCACAGCCTGCAGGGCCAGGTCCAACCCAAGGGCCCTGCTACTTCCTGTGAGAAGAGGGGCCTACAGGAGGGACTGCAAGGCAGTGGTGGTGCTGGGGGTGGGGTGGGGGCTGACAAAGAGAGCAGGTGACAGCTGGAGGGGACCAGCTTTATTAACCTGGCACTTAGCGTCCTCCGGGCACAGGGAGGGAGTGGCCCCATCGCTGATGACCTGCACCCGTCCAGGAAGTGGAGCCCCATTCTAGGGAAAAGAGCAGGATGTGGGTATGAGGAGGCTGCCCTGGGCTGGCCCCCGCTTTCCTCTCTCCTCTCTGCCTCCCCCAACCTCTTCCATTTTAAACTCAGGGCCCTGAAACCACCCTAACTTGAACTTGGTCATCACTCATACCTGATCCAGGCTCAGTTTGGGGGCGGGGCCTTGAAAAAGGCGAACTGTCCAGGGAAGTAGAAGCTGTGGGGGTCCTCACCAGCCCGCTCCACCCTGGAGCACTGGGCCTCCTGGTGCTCACTGGGCTCCTGGCAGGAGGGAATGGCAGTTTAGGTGTGGGGAGGGCTCCCACCTCTCTGCAGCCCCCTGCATGCCACTCCTCCAGGCCCAGCTGCAGCACTAGGCCCAGGTTCTTACCCGAGGAGGCTGTGTTTGAATGGGGCAGTGGACCATCCGGCCCAGAACTCTGTCCTCAGAGCTCAGTTTGATGCAGGCCAGGCATTTCCGCTTCCTCTGGGGAAGGAAGCATGGGAGAGATGCAGGGGTAAGTACAGGAGGCCCTGGGCACTCCAAGGATGGAGAATGAGGCAGATGTCAGGCTGGGGTGCTCTAAGTACCAGAGGTGCAGCCCCTGCCCTGCAGGCCCTGAGGGGGTACAGCCCCTGCCCTGATGGCCCTGCCAGCCAGTCTTCAGAGCAGCCTCCCAGAGGTCAAATGGCCCTGGTGCTTTTCATCTCACAACTTCAGGTTATGGCAGCAGTCATGTGTGGGTGTGGGCACTGCATGTGTGAGCACAGGCACATGTGAGCACATATGTGTGCATGTGTGTGAGTGGGCACATGCATGTATGAACAAGGCACATAGCACAGGCACACATGTGAACAAGTATATGTACTTTTTTGAGCAAGTCGTGTGTGTGCACATGGACATGGACACATGTGAGCACAGGCACACGTGTGAGCCCATACAGATGTATGTGAGCACATGTTAGCACAGGCCCACATTATAAGATACATGTTAGCAAGGCACACAATCGTGAGGACACATGTTGGCAATATACCTGTTAGCACATGCACACACCTGGGGACGTGTTAGCACATGCGCACATGTATGAAGACGTGTTAGCAAGGCACACGTGTGAGCACAGATACACATGTGTACTTATAAGAGCCAAGGTCCTCTGGGCTGGGACCTTGCACTCATCTATGACCTGGAGCTGCATATTCTGCTGAGATTTGACTGGATGACAGGGCTCAGGGGCTCAATCCCATCCCTCCTCGCGCAGAGGTCAAACAGGTCTCAGGGAGCCTAGGAAGCTCCAGGTCGGTGCTGGTGCTCAGGCCTGGCAGCCCTAGCCTAGCATCTTCCAGAGCAGCTGGCCACACGTCTCCATGTGGACATAGAAAACGGGAATCAGCCAGACCTGGGCAGGAGGCCAGACCAACCCCCACCATGGGCTTCTGCCAACAGTTAGCTCTAAGGGAGCAGGGGCGGGGGCTGCTTATGCAATGATATGTCCTTGGAACCACCAAACTCTCCCTCCTCCTGCCTCACTCCCCAGACCCCAGTTCACCCACACCCCTGCCCAGCCTGAGCCACTGCACAACGCCCAGTATTCCTTCTCCGCAGTGGGTAACCTCAGAGTCAATCGAGCCCATGTCCCACCTCCCGAGTTCTCACCGCCTGCACTCACGAGTGCACACAGGGACGTAGTACTCATATAGGCATGCATGACCCACCTCAGGCTTACATGGACACACACACATGCATGCAGAGGCACACAGGGACCATGTGTACTCAAGCACACATGTCCTACCTCGGTGCTCACACGCATGTGTGTCCCATCTCCGTGCTCCCATGGGCACACATGCATGCACACATGTCCCACCCTGTTCACGGGCACACACGGGACGCGCACTGCCCCTACCCCGTTGGCCTTGACTTTGCATTCTGGCTTCTTCCAGTCCTTTTTCCGGCAGTGGGTCTGCTGGAGCTTAAATTCCAGCCTCACAAAGATCCCTCCTGGGAATGACTGTGGACAGACAGACAGGAAATGGGGCCAGCGACACCTGGCTTCCCTGCCTCCCAGTGAAACCAAGCACCTGCTGGAGGCCCAGGCACCTCTCAGGCCGCACCCGCCTCCCAAGATCTCACTGGCCTCAGCCCACATGTCCCCTCTGCCCCTGAGGTCCTTCTACCGTGTCTGCTGCCCTGTCCACGCTGGTCTCCCTGAAGGCCCACTGCACAGGTGGGTGCTGGTGGAACTCGGCCAGGGCCACCTCCAGGCTGCGACGCTGGGTCTCTGAGAGCTCCTCTGGGCCCAGGCCCATTGCACCCAGGCCCAGGGTGAGCACGAGTAGCAGGGGTCTCATTGCTGGGCTCTGCAAAGAGGTGGATCCTCAGCCCTCGGGGCTCACGGCCCATGTCACCCCCAGCACCACCTGGGAGCTCGCTTGGTAGACCTAGCAGAGATGGGGATTGCCGTCGGGGTCTCTGGGCCCCATGGGTCCGGCCAAGGCTCCTGTGGCCCTTTCTTAGGTAGGGGATGCAGGACGCCCAGCCCCATTTGTGGACTGGAAAGCAGCCCACCCCTGCTGCTGGGTCCCAGCCAGGCCTCAGCTCTGGGTGGACTCTGACCCATCTCACCCCGCCCTTTGGGCTCCAGCCCTGCCCCTATGAGGTTCCCCAGGGGTGGGCAGGGTTAGCCTGGGGACTCTGGACTTGGAATTCTATGGGATGGACTGAAACTCATGGGAGGAGCCCAGAGGTGGGTGGGGGCCGTGAGGACACTTAACTCTCCCGGCTCTGGGATAGTTGCCCCCCACCAGCCCTCAGAATGGGGGTCTCACTTCCCTTAGCTCTCCCCAGTCCCAAGGGGAGGGTCCGGCCTCCCCTGGCCCAGGCTTCTGACTCAGGCAGATGTTTCCCCCTTCCTTTCTTCTCTCTGCTGCCTTCGCTCAGCCCTTCCCTCGATCATCACCCCCCTGCTCCCCAGCCCTCAGGTCGGGGGTGCCTGAGGGGTCAACCCAGAGGTCATAAGACCAGAACGGCCCAGATGCACAAAGCCTGGGGCTCCTGGCCGCTCACCCTGTGTCCGTCGGTCTGTCCTTGCGAGTTCTGCGGGGCCCAGTGCCCGAGGTCCAGGCCTCCGCCCGCCACCGGCTCCTCCCTCCCTCCCCCAGGACGCCCTCCCCGTCCCCGCCCTGTCCCTCACCCTGCGCTCCAGCTATCTCCGCACCCCTCCCCAGGCCAGCCTCCCGCCTGGGCCCGCCCCTTGCAGGGCGCTGCGTGGCCAGCTGCGTCTGCCAGTGACAGCCCGGGCTCTAGACCTTTTGAGCACAGGCCCCGAGACTGATCGGAGGTCCCAAACCTCCAGCCAGACCAAACCTGAGGAGCCTCTTGGCCCTCCCTCTGCGCCCTCCGTGGGCCCACTGGAAGGACCCTTTGTCCTCAGGGAGTTAGGCCTGCACCTGGGCATCCCGTAGTTAGGCCTTTGTCCAGTCGAGCCCACAGGCTACTCTTCCAGGCCTGCCCCTCCTGTCCCAGAGTGCTTGGTGGTGTGGAAGACGCCAGAGGCCCCACCCGGGTGTGGGCGGCCTCAGCAAGGAGAACGTGCTGCGGAACTCCCAATTCCCAATCCTGGCTCAGCTCCGTGCACTGAAGCTGCTATAAAGGCTGCCAAAGGCATTTCTTTCCGTCAGTTCAACCGTCTGAGAGGGCATCTCCTCTAATGAATTTTGCTGAGCTTCTGCTGTCTCCAAAATGGGGCAGAAACCCCAGATTAAAGGGTTGTTTTGAGGGTGAGAGGAGAAAATGAATGACCCATCCATTGTTTGCTTTCAATTCTTCCCCCTTCCCTCCTCATCTCTGTTAGGATGCTTTAGAGCCAAGAGCTGCCCTTACCATGGGGCCTGGCTGTCCCTGACCCCGAGAGTGGCATGTCACGGCTGTGAGTGGCTCACCTCTCATCAGGTGGAGGAAGGGGTCTGGGCTTCGCCCAGGTCAGAGAAGCAGGATGCAAACACTGCGATCCCTTGCCCGTGAAGGTTAATTTGTGCAGCTGCCAGGTCTTTGGTCACACACTAGTCTAATTGCTGCTGTCACGGAAGGGTTGCATGGTACTAGATGAGCCGAGCTGGCACAGCACAGGTTACCTTCCACATTGTGTTAGTGTGGGTGGACTAGAGAAACAAATCCAAAAACATTCAATGTGTATAAGAAAGAGCTTTACATACAAAGCAGTTGAATACTGAGAAAACATCCCAGCCCACTCCAGGTCAAGTCGATAAGTCCGATATTAGCCCATATGTCCAATACCAATCTATGAAGTCCTCTTCAGAATCACGAAACCCATGTAATGACGCCGAATGCAAGAAGATCACAGGCGAGTGGGTGGGAAGTCTTGTGGGTCTCCACGTGACTCCTCTGGCTCCAGAGGCCTGGCTCCATCAGCCTCTCTCCATGTGTCTTCTCCACAGGGATGTCTCGCAGGAAGTGAGCAGAGAGAGAGTGTCTCCCCGTCTCCAAGGGTGAATACGGAGTTGCCAGAATCCTCAGGAGAAGGCCAAGCCCACACAGAGGCCTCACTGGCTATGATCTGATTGACAGGCTAGACTCTACCCCTTCACTCTGAACCCTCAAATTGACACCAGATTATGTAACTACCCCACACATGAAAAACCTGATTCCAAGGCTGTTAGATGAGAGCTTCCATGTACCACGTGCTCCACGGCCCATAGGAGACAGAGGAGGTGTCTTGGTCTGTAAAGCTAACAGCCTTGGACTCGCTGCTTCTGCTGCCTGCGTGCTCTTCCAGTGTTGGTCAGTAGCATGCTTTTTACTCCTTCGTCTGTTAGCAGCATTTAGGCTGTTTCCAGCTTTTGACTATGATGTATAATGCTACAACAAACATTGGTGGACGAATCTCATTTTTAGTCTCTGCTTTCAAGTCTTTTGGGTATATACTCAAAAATTGGAATTTCTGGGTCATTTGGTAGTTTTAGTTTTTGGGGGAGCTAATATAGATATTATTCTACAGTTCAGTCACATCAAGCAGTATTGTATAATTGCTACCACATCAGTTTCAAAACATTTTCTTCCTTCCTTTCTTGAACTCCTTGGTATCAACTCCACTTTACCCTCTTCCCCCCACTGTACACCCCACCCCCCGGAAACCCTTATTCTACTTGCTGTCTCTATCAGTTCATCCGTCCTAGATTTCATATACTGATCATCAGAAAAAAGACATAACCCAAAGTCAAGAGGGTGATCCCAATGATAAAATACATCTGAGATAAACCCCAATATGAAAGGAAACAAACAAACAAACACAGAAAGTGTTAAAAACCAGATCAGGCCCAACGTGCATCAGAGAGGGGTCAACTGACAAGGTTTTAACCAGTCAAATCAAGTTTATCATTTTGATCTCCTATAGTCATCTGTATGATGGTGACCAGTTTCTTCCCATCCCTCCATTATGGATAGAGAGAAATCATTGGAGGCTCATTTCTTCATAAATATCACAAATCTATCTTCCACTGTCATTCAGAGCCTTCTGCAAACCAGATTATCACAATTTAGGCTCTGATACTATTCCCTCCTTTAGCTACGAAATATATGATTTACAGTCCTTCAGTGACTGATGATGGTGTGCTTCTTCCATGTGGACTTAGTTGACATCTCTCCTGATGATCTGCTTGTTTGAAAACAAACTTTTAAGATCTCAGACACTATTTTATTTGATAGCCGGGCACCACCTAATTTTCTCACCATACTTTACTATAGCACCCATATCGTCTATGCTCCCTTTGAATGGGCCAGGATATAAAAACTAAATGTTCTTAAATTGGAGCTAGGATTTAGTGTGAGACCCCAAACCATTCCTGGATATATATTTGTTTGTATTCTGCCTCTGGCTCCCTTCAGAAACCTCCTTGTTAATTTATGGTAGACAGTCTTATTGACCATCTCCCAGAAGCATAAAGATCTTACATTAATATTGTCATTGATTAGCCCTTGGTACTAATTTTTTAAAAACACCATTGAGAGAGGGATATTGGGCCAATGTAGGCTAACTCCATATTGCAACACCTGCATTATTCTGTTTTACAGAATAAATCCTTTCCTGGCTGGACAGTATTCACACAAAAAATGGGAGTTGGTTGTCAGGGATATTTTACAATAATATTAACTGAGAATGTCAATTACTGTTTTTCCAGAATAATATATATCTTAACCCAGCATCTAGGACATTGATGTAGTAAGTCAATGGTTGCCCACCTAATGGCAGTTCAATACTCTTGGTATAACTGCCTTCTGCTTCTTCAAGCACCATGAATTTTCAATCTTAAATCTAGATTTTAAAAAATGAAATAAACCACCACACCCTTTTCCTTAGAAGCAAGGATGGTGAGACTGCATCTCAAGTACTTTAGACATGTTGTCGGGAGAGACCAGTCCCTGGAGAGGGGGACCATGCTTGGTCAAGCAGAAGGACAGTGGAAAAGAGGAAGGCCCTTGACCAGAGGGATTGGCACAGTGGCTGTAACATGTGCTCAAGCACAGCAACCAATGTGAGAATGACACAGCTTTTTCGTTCTATTGTGCACAGGATTGCTATGAGTCGAACTGACTTTGACTGTACTTAACAACAACAACAACAACAGCACTCTCTTTATTCAAACTGCTGTATTATTTTGGATTCCCGCTAGCAATGGATAAGGGTTCCATATTCCCTGCATCCATCCATCTATCTATCTATCTATCATCTATCTATCTATCTATCTATCTACTAAGTTTGTTGTTAGAGAAACAAAACTGGTAACTTCCCTATACTGTGTACAGTCATGTATAAGCTGAGTTTTTTCAGCACATTTTTTAATGCAGTTTTTGTGGTAAAAATTAGGTGCCCTGGCTGATATTTGGGTCGGCTTATACTCGAGTATATGTGGTATGTATAAGAAAGAGATTTATATCAAGAAGTAATGTTATATCAAGAAAGCATCCCATTCACCCTCATGAGGAGATCACTGAAAATATGGGTACTATAGCAAAGCGTGGTGAAGAAACTAGATGGTGCCCAACTATCAGAAAGAATAGCCTTGGAATATTAAAGGCATATTTTCAAACAAGCAGCCATCTAAGTGTTGTGTCAACTAAGAAAGAAGCACACCAGCCTGTGTGATTCAAGGTTTGTAAATAGTATAATCCAAATCCAAAGGAGGGAATGGTATCAGCTTAAAGTGTGAACACCTGGTTTGCAGAAGGCTATATGGATGACAGTGAAGGCCCCCAATCCATTTGCAGGTCCATATATGGCTTAAGCCTCCAGTGAATCCCCTCACATCATAGTTGAGGGCTCTGAATAGCTGTTATGCAGAGAACACTGTTAAGCCAATGAACAGTGTTCTTGTTGTTAGGTGTCATTGAGTCTGTTCTGACCCTATTCACAGCAGAACAAAACACTGCCCGGTCCTGCGCCATCCTCACAATTGTTCCTGTGCCTGAGCCCATTGTTACAGCCGTGGCGTCAATCAATATCCTTGACGAACTTTCTCTTTTTTTGCTGCCCCTCCATTTTACCAAGCATGATGTCCTTCTCCAGGGACTGGTCTCTTCTGACAATATGGCCAAAGTTTGTAAGACAAAGTCTTGTCATCCTGCCATTCTTGCCTCTAAGGTGCACCCTGGCCATACTTCTTCCCAGACAGATTGGTTGATCCTTTTGGCAGTCATGGTACTTTCTGTATTCTTCTCCAGCACCGCAATTCAAATGCATCAATTCTTCTTCGGTCTTTCTTATTCAATGTCCATGGCTTGGGTCAGGTGCATCTTAGTCTTCAAAGTAAGATCCTTGCTTTTCAGTACCCTAAAGAGGTCTTGTGCAGCAGATTTACCCAATGCATTGCATCATTTGATCTCTTGACTGCTGCATCCACGAGCATTGGCTGTGAATCCAAGATGAAATACTTGATAACTTCAGCTTTTTCTCCATTTATCATAAAGTTACCTATTGGCCCAGTTGTGAGGATGTGGGTCTTCTTTACATTGAGTTGCAGTCCATACTAAAGGCTGCAGTCCTTGATCTTCATCAACAAGTGCCTCTCCACATTCAGAAAGCATATCGCAGGTTGTTAATAAGCTTTCCTCCAACCCCGGGGCCACG